AAGGAGGGCATTGCAGATCAGTGAGGTCACCCATTTGTGCACTTTAGGGGCATATTTCACTCTCTTGTAGGATCTAGCTGTTCCGCAGGCGGTGAATGCAGCTGAGGAGGATGAGGTAAACAAACTGAGCGTTTTGGATGATGATTTCTGTGAGTTCAGGTAATCCTCAAGTCTTTCAGAATGCTCACTCTAGAAGTTCAACCATCTCATATTCACTTGCTTTATTCTTCGTAGTGTTACGCGAATGTATCCGGACTAGCCGACACATTGGATAAGGATCACTATGGACTAGCTGATGTCAAAATAGGCACTCTTGTAAGTTTATAAACTGATCTGGTTTTGGTTTGCAATTTGAACACTTTGAATTGGATCTGATTTCCTCGGTCACTCTATGTGGCATTTGTTGCAGGCCATTGTCGTTGTGGTCGTGTAATGTTTTACTTTTGCGTCTTTGCTTTCTCGCACTTTGCTGGATCCTTTGTAGTTGTTACTTTTTGGTAGTTATAACTAACGCGTTGCGCCTAGCGTCACATATTTGTGACAGGAGTTCTCCTTCACTTTGTGGTAACGGAAGTTGTACCTCCTCGTTTCCGGCACACAGATTAGTTGAGATTAAGAATGTACAAATTAACTCCATGCTGTCTTCACCGTTTTTATGTATAGACTGGATATGATGATAGTTTGTGTCTTGTGGTGGTCGATTGCCTTGCCGATTGTGATGATATGCTTGTTACTCCTTGTCCGAATTTTGGTTCTTAAGGCCCTTGCTGAGAATTTTGGCACCGACTTTAGGCGGTGGTTGCCCAACTTCACTCTGGTGGAATCATAGATTTTGTGATTGTCTAACGCAACTGTGCAACCTCCCTTTACAAATTCTTTGGTCATCATATCTTTCCACTTTGGTTTTCATGTTGACAGATCCTCATAAATTGTTCTCCAACTGGTTGCTGCTGACTGACTTCCCGTTGCTCAAGGGCTGTCACAACCAGTAGACAGAAATCATTTTTTGAGTGCGATGATGGCAATTCTCCCGTTCTTCTGGGTTATATCTATTAATTCACTAAATCGTCTTCTTGCGATGGGGGGCCAGTAATGTGAGTGAGCTGAAGGTAACCACTCATGACAAGTCCATCCGCCTGAATAGTTGCCCAGCAGCGGGCTAAAGGAATAGCGCTAGCACCAAAATATTGGCACATGTAGGTTTTATTACCAACAAACAATAGCTTCACCCATCCACAGTGAAGTTGGATTAATTGAAAAATGCAAATCGTGCAGGTTTAATCATCGGTGGTGGCACAATGGCCACAGCAATCTCTCGCCACAATGGCATTTGGACAGGCACTGACGTGGGAGGCGCCGGGTTAAATGCCGAGGTTAATGAAGTGATAGGCACGCGTTGAAATGGAAAGAGGGTAGGCATCAGTTCAGGGTTAAGGAAAGA